TAAGCGGATTCAAGAAAACCATTCCCATTCAAATACTCGTCAAAACGCGACGGTTGACGGACTGTCCGCTCACCGTGACGAAGTGTTCAAAGAAACCAAGGCTTTACATTGACAGCACCCGTATAGCTGTTTTTCCGCCAATTATTAACGATTCAGTTTATCCTGAACATTGATATATTACGTGATTAGAAAAATCATCATTCGATAAATTTACAATTGGTTTGTTGTAATTAAATTACATAATCCTTATTTTTTTATGGTCTGCACATTACTTGAATTTAGCGATATAGACAGTTTACAGTGATGCCAGATATATTATTTGCTTGTTAAAAACGTACACGTTTTAAAAAACGAATGCTTATCGAACGCCAGTCAAGAATGGATTTCAAAAACTACTCGCTTTTCAACCACTCACTTTCGAAAACGGTTCGTTTTTTAGCGATTGTCGAGGGTAGCCGCCCAGGTCATATTTATCTCTTAGGTACGTCGCTTCAGGACGGTCTGTGCTCTTATCATCGTTTCATCTTTCGCGGCTCTCTAAACACGCTGGGAAACGTAGTGTTTAGGCTGCATTTTTGCCAGATCGGCGAGATTTAATTATAATTTGTCGAATATGTGATTAGATTTCAGTTTTGTAGAATATTAATATGTTAATTGCACATGAAAGTCATAGATGGATTAACAATAAATGAATAATCAAGTCTTCTAAAATATGTATTTGCATCTAAATTATTATTCTGTACCTAATGTTTTTTGTTCGAAAAAAATTGTCATTCCTTTAAAGCAACGTATGTGCGCCGTCTCATCAACTCCAGCGACAGATTTGCGATATAACAGGATAAATTTAAATAATTAGAGAGTTAAGTAAAGAGCAAAGCATACAAATGAAGAAGACGTAGAAGAAAAGGATATGATATAATTTAATTACAATAAATAATACGGTATCCAGTCAATTCGTCGCGCGACAATTTATCGCGCGACCTTTCAGAGCCGACAATTCATCGCCACGACTTTTCATCGCCACGACTTTTCATCGCTACGACAATTCATCGCCACAAAAATATCGTATTGTATCTATGATTTATACAGTATGTCTGAAAAACAAACAATTTTTTTTGTGCTATATTGAATTTTTCTTATAAGTACCAAATAAAATTATTTTTTCGAAAAAATTACAAAATATCTTACTCTAAATTACACAAAAATATGATTTACTTTTTTTCTGCTAATCAAGTAGTTTTTACTAAGAAAAATATCAATAATGTATTATTGATAAGCCAATTTAAAGTGTATAAGCGGCAGTCGCAGGTTCTCAACAGTCCTTTACCTACTATTTAAAAAGGATTATCTTCATTAGCCAATTCGGGTAAGTTACCACATTAGTTAATAATAATAGAGAATTATAATTAGCCTTTATTAATCCTTTCAAGGAGAAATTCATGGTGCAATCAATATTTAATTCTAAAAAGGATTATCTTCAATAGCTTGTTTGTGTAAGTTAGTATTTTAGATGCCCTGTTTATAATATATGTATATAAGGTTTAAATAAGAAATACCAACGAACTGTAATCATTCTTATTTTGTCTTTGTACGAGTTTACATCATTGTAAAATTTGAAAATGCCGTTACAATTTGTTGACAGCGAAAGAGGTCACAAAATGCTTTTATACAATGGCCATACACATTCTAGAGAAAAAATTTCTGGAGAAAAAGGTATTTGGAAATGTTCTCTATATCATAAATGGAGATGTACCGGTCGCATTCATACCATAGGCGATGAAATTGTGAAGAGTACCGAACATAATCATGTATCAAGATAGTGCTGATGCCGAAGTAAGAAGAGCTGTTAAAAAAATGAAGGTTTTAGCTGAACAAAGTGGTTCCACTATTCAACAAATCATTGCAAAGGTTTCCGAGGGTTTATCATCATCGGCTGCAGCTAGATTACCACAAGTGAGTGCAATGAAAAGAACTATTCAACGAAAAAAGGAAAAGACAGAAGGAATTCCTGCGATTCCAAATTCTCTGCTTCAATTAGTTATTCCACAGGAATATACACTGACAAGCAGTGGTCAGTTATTTTTAATGTACGACAGCGGCCCATCAGAAGATCGAATATTAGTGTTTACAACAGCAAGAAATCTTGACTACATGTTGGAGTGTGAACACTGGTACGGAGATGGAACTTTTTCAACAGCCCCTAATATGTTTTCCCAAATATGTACAATCAGAGCTGAGGTACTCAGTACAAAAATGTACTTGAAATAAATAATCAGTATTTTTTTTACTTTAAGTATTTTACTTAAAGTATTTATGAACTAATGATACTTTTGGAAATGTACTTATTACATTTGAAAAAAAGTACTTGTACTTAAATTAACGCTTTTGTGGTAAGTATTACTTATTACTTGAAAAATGTACTGGAAAATCAGAATCTACTTAAAGTATTTTCTGAAAATACTTAAGTAATTTTTAACAGTAAGGACTTAAATGGAAAATACTTAAAGTACTTTTGAAACTATTTTAAGTACATATTTACTTTAAGTATTTTATTAAAAATACTGCAACGCCAAACAAGCTAGGACTCGCATTTCATATATTACCCGGACTGTAAACAGTACAGTAAAGTGACAATAAACAAATCAAATATTTCCGACATACGACGTCTAACGTGTGCCGATGCCGGACTTGTAGTTCACCGATGATACCTGATACTAATAATACTACTCGTAATAAGAGTAATAAACATACAGTCCTAAAATAGTGAACAGATACAGACAGTATCTGAAAATAATTGTGAATTAGATACCTAAGTGAAATAATATGATACCTCTCTTTTTGTTGGGTTCAGTATTATATCACTTGAGAAAATTAAAATGTCTGGTACAATCACACAGCTATCTAAGTCCTTGGATTACATTTTGAACTCTATTCGTGAACGATTCCATCGTGTTTTTACCTTGCAGTCTAAGATAGACCGTTATAGCAGCAGTAACCAATCCTAGATTTAAAATGAGATGGTTGAGTGCCTTCAGAGATACTGATGATCAAGTAACTGCAAAAGATATTCAATCTTGGATATCGAGTAGTGCTTTGGCCTTTAAAGTATTTTTGATAATATTGTTAATTTAACTAATAAAGAATGTTACGCGTTACTTTATGAGCACACACAAAACTATTGTATTTTTGCCCACCCTGTACCAATTGGAATCAACATGTGATACATTTTTGAAATCAGCTCAGCTAGAGTAATACAAAAATTGAGACAAAATGGGGGAGTTCCATTTAAAAAAAAATGACGGTGACGTCATTACTCGAAAGTAATTCACCCTGTATATTAGATTATTTTAAAATACGGTAAATTAAAATCAAAAATCAACGTGTTTCAGGATTATTTCTTAAAATGGTCTGTTTAGCTAAAAATGAATTTGTTCCATACTTTACGGACACACTGTATATATACAAACCTATTGGATGGCCATTTTTATTGATCATGCCTAAACAAAATAGTAGTATACTTTATTAATTTATACAAAGTTATATATGTTGAGTTTTAAGTTGATAACTCAAGAGGGGATCTTTAATTTAATATATACTTAAAACATGACAAGTAATTAATATTTCAAAATACTGAATCTTTAAAAGTGCTTTAAGTATTTTTAACATATTTTCAGTACTTAGAATTACTTCAGTATATTGAATTTACTTTAAGTATTTTTAAAGTATGTACTTGCTACTTATACTTGAATTATTTGTTTTAAGTAAAATACTTAATATTTCAAGTACTTTCGTAAAATACTTATACTTAATATTGTAAGTAGATTTGGAATTTAAACTACTTAATACTGGTTACTTAAAGTACATTTGCTAAATACTTATCACAGCTCTGTATACAATCCATGGCGTCAAATATTCAAATACCATTCCAACAGTATATGCAATTCTGCCGAATAAAAGAGAAGAAAGCTATGGACGTTTATATGCAGCATTAAAAAAATTTGAAACCTGAACTTTGCCCTACATCTTTTTTAATGGATTTCGAAAAAGCAGCGATGAATGCGGTACGAAGTGAATTCCCTAATACTCAAATTCGTGGATGCTTTTTTCATTTTTCTCAGTGTATAGGGAGACAAATCCAGAATACCGGATTTCAGAGGCGATATGTGGATGAAGAAGTGTTTTCATCAAATTTGCGACTTCTGGCTGCACTTGCTTATGTTCCTGAAGACGATGTAGAGAGTGCTTTTGATTTATTATTGGAAAGTGAATTCTATGCAGAAAACGAAGAGCAGATTTAATAAACTATTTTGAAGACACGTGGATTGGTAGATTAGACAGAAGAGGAAGAAAACGGTTACCAAAATTTCCTATATCTTCTTGGAATTGTTACAATGCAGCCAGAGAGGGAATTGCTAGAACCAATAATGCAGTTGAAGGATGGCATAACAGTTTCAGTTCAATTGTTTCCATTGCACATCCCAACATTTGGAGGCTAATTAAGGCTTTACAAAAGGAGGAAAGCCTTAACAAATTGAAAATAGAGCAAATTGTGGCAGGTAATGAAATTACTCAAAAAAAAATTTACAAAGATTCTGCACGTAGTTTAAAACTACTTACAAAATCCTACGACGCTCGTAATACATGGAATATCTTCGAGGAATTGCGCATAATTTTCGAATGCAAGTCTAAATTATTTAATATTATTATATTATATTACTTCAATTTAAAATGTAATGACTAGCAACTACAATTTTTTATAATATATTTTTTTTTTCAATATACCTACTTGTTTTTTATTACCTATACTAAAAAAATTTTTGATTATAATAAAAAAAAAATAAAATAAACCATAAATGAATTCTAAAAAATGGCTGGCGACAAATTGTCGTGGCGGTGAATTGTCGTAGCGGTGAATCGTCTTACGATGAAATGTCGGCTCTGAATTTTCGCGCGATGAATTGACGTAGATCCAAATAATACTTAATATGAATCACACTTACTTGAATTGCTTTCCACAGTATGTACAAAGTGCTTTAGGTTCATCTTTTTTGCCATCTTTACTGTGATGTTTATTCCTATGGTTTTCTAAATTTCTAACTGTTCTTTTACAAAGTCCACAATACCTGTGTCGTTTAATATCACTAAAAAGAAAAACATAATAATGACTAAATTTTATAAACATTGAAGATAAGTACTATACCTCTTTTTATCGACATCTTTTTCTTTCACCTTCCCAATATTTTCTTCGTTTGTATTCTCAATGTCATCATCTTGTTTCTCATCGCAAGTTTCTTCAGAAAATTCTTCTTTTGGACAGACATGTGTGTCAAAGTTCTCGTCACTGTATTTCCCCTTGCACTTGTCACATTTTATGGTTTTGTGTGTTTTAAGATGTTCTAGTAATAATTTTTTATCTAAAAAGTCTTCTAAGCAGATATTACACGACGACACTAGTTTGTTGTGCTTTTTCCTGCAGTGGGCTTTTAAAAGTTTAGTTGTTTTGAGATGGCTTCCGCATATTTTGCAAATGTGTCTTAGTTTAACTGCAAATTATAAAAGATTATCCGTATTTCTAACAACTCTTGTACAACAAATTCCGCAAGAATAGCAATAAAGTGGACATTTACTAAACACGACCAATCGGTAGAGAGAAGCTAATCTGCAAGGGAAGAGAAAACTAAGAATACTGTATATGGAAAGATAGCTTATATATTAAAGTTGACAACAGAAACTTATTTGTCATGATTCTGTCATTAGTCCTTTGATATCATGGGTGGGATTCCGTTATGTGTCGAGTAACTCGATCTTGATATGATTCATAATTCGACTCCATAATTGCAATTCTGTTCAATGAAATTCGATAATAAACTCGATCAAATAACTCGATAGCTCTAGAGTAGTCGATTCGATATCAAATCTTTAAAGTTGAATTTTATTGACATTAGGTATGAACCTTTCAAATGAGGTAAATAATGCAACTGAAAAGAATTTTGTTTCTGCAGCAATGTGCCTTTTCTGAATAACCTCTCCTATATTAAAGGTCCTATTTTCTCTATTAGGTATATAGGGGTCCCTACTATTTCATAGGGACAGTATCTGTATTGTGTGGAGGGTGAGTTAATCCACGGCACTTAAGCCTCACTAGGCCCATTGTGCATCATCCTAAGTAAATAGGCACCTTCTAGTTCGTGAGCCAGGGACAGTATTGCTATTTCTTAGAAAGTAGCAGATAGAAAGTTGGTTAAATTTAACAAAAGTCGCGCCGTTTTTTGCTTATTAAAATGGTACCAAAAAACATTTAATATTTACAAGGAAATTCAAAATATCGGACAAAAAACGAATGAATTAATTTAAAGAAATGACAATTTTATTTTTTTGTCCGATATTTTGAATCTCCCTATAGATATCAAAGGTTTCTTGGCACCATTTGAATAAGCACAAAACTGCGCATCTTTTGTCTAATTTAACCAACCTTCTATCTGTTACCGTTTAAGAAATAGCAATACTGTCCCTATGAAATAGTAGAGACTCTGTATACTACTTGAAACATCAATAAAATGATTTATTTATAACATAACACGCTATAAAAATATAAATTAATAATGGTAGGTAGGGTCCGATTACAATTAGAAGAACACAGCTACGTCATCATTTGGAAAAGTAATTAATTGCTTATCGCCGCGTACTGGGAGTTTAGTGGAATATTAATATTATAGGAATACAGGAAATATTGTTTTATACGTAACAACTTATTTTTTATTTATTGATAGTAGTTATAATAGATAATATGTATTCGAAATTCAAAGTAATGGTTATGGACGTAGCTGTGTCCTAATTGTAATCGGACCCTAATCTTTATTCAACAGGGGAAGCTACCCACAGCGATTTTCAGAGTGTTCGAAAGGATCCTTCGTTCCCTTTGGTCAATTGTACTTTAACGCAAAGCTCAATAATATTAAATATTTTTACAATTTACCCCATTACAAATGACCCCTGCAACTCTGAAAGCATAGCTGGTATGGGGGAGGGACAACCGTATTATTATTATTATTATTTGCCATGGCGCTCCAATGGAAATTAGAGATAGTGTCACTTAACTTATACTTAGATGAGGATACCCAGGAAAAACCCTAACCATCATCATAAATAAATAAATAATTAATCTTATGGCTAAACCAAATACAATACAATTTAATTGTTTGTGTCGGGGAGAGAAGACTATTATTAATTTCCATATCGCTCCGAGGCAACTTATAGATGTCATTTGAATTATAAATGAGAACATTCCGGAAAAACCCTATCCATAAGAATAAAAACTATTTAAATAACTCATGTCAAGGTTAAAGAAATACAATTTAAGTTTTGTTGTTTGACGTTTAAAAGTCAGAATAGTTCGAATGTTTCATTATTTTGTCGAATTTCCAAAGTCAAAACAGATCGAGTTATAAAATCGCTTTTCATAATTCGATCGAATTATGAGTCGAGTTACTCTAGTACACCTAGAACTTTGACTAGGTACTGTTGCCCTAATATTCACGCTTGAATTCTCTCTCTTATCAGTGACAGCTGTCAAAATATATTTTTCATTATAATCTCTAGCCAGTGTAAGTATCCCTAGTCTGCAGGGAAGACGGTAATGTCCGAGCCCGATGGAGCAAGTCACTCCTGTGAAATCATACGAAACAAAATATACGCAAGGACTCAAGAAAAAATGCCGGGTCTCAATCAACGTACCAATTGTTGAGGATATCGCAGTTATTCACTCTCTAAATAGTTTTAAGGCCAAGCTTAAACAAAACGTGAGTAGAGACACCTTATCTAAAGTAACTACTAACCAGGGGTTCAGGTTTCCGGACCAGGGGTCTCCCTGACAAATTTTTTAAAAAATCGACCTTCAGATGACCGTCAAACAGTTGTAAAGGAATTAACATTCGAAAAAAACCCCAAAAGAGGTGAATACACCATCAAGAAAGGAGTCTATGGCTGACTCTGATGATTCTCTGGAATTTCAGGACAGCCAAGACAGCCATGCAGACACAAATGAACATGACAAATCCTTAAAAGAACTATTAAAGGTACTAGAAGGCACTAATGACTCCAATGATAGTGTCGATAGCACTATGGATACCACTATAGTAGAGAATACTAATGAGCCAGTTGAAAAATCCCCTGCCCAGAAAAATTTTGTCTCAGGTTACAGCCCACGAGCCTTAAAAGAACCTTCAAAACCGCAGAATGTAATCACTAGGATGTTGGATTTTAGTCAAAACAATCTAGGAGAAAACTCTACACCCTCACCTATCATACTCAAAACTGGCAGTGTGGAAAACGCCCAAACTCGGGGCGTTTTCCAAGTTTGGGTAAGTCCCCACCCTGTCAGCCACACAGGAAGTGACACAGACAGGCTCGAATAAACCCCCTGCCACTACGGGTGGAGCGAGGGTGCGTACAAACAGCCATCCGCGAATCAGAATCGAAGTCAACAAAAGAGACATTCCCAAAAGTATAGATAACAACATCATGCACTATGACTCCAACAGTTACACCTCGGAAGAAGAGAAGAGAAGCAGAATTTCGCACAGAGCCCTACACGAGCAGGAAACGGCTAAAAAAAAACATTGAGCCCCCTAAAGAAAAAGAAAACGAAGACCCCTTTTATGGCCCCCGGGCAGCTCCAATTTTCAGAAGTTGGTCAAGGAGAAAACTTTGAAAACACTTACTTCGATCAGTAATAAATACCATGTTCTTACAGATGCGTCGGACACAGATACCGATGATGAAATCACAAGAATCGTGAAGAAAAGGAAAAAAGGGCTAAAATATAAACCATTAAATCTAGACGAAAATCCAGGAACTAGTAACACTCGAAATACGACAGAAAACAGAGAAAACTAGCAACACATCAAATACGACAGGAAGAACCACAAACAGCAATAAAAATAAAACTAATATGCCACCAATAGTCATAGATGGAAAGACAGCCAATCAACATACACTCATAAACTATATCAAGGCAATGACAAAAGGAGAATTCAGTGTAAAACATACTAATTACACAACAATCATATTCACCGAAAACAAAGACGACCACGCGCAAGTACTGGCCAAAATAAAAAATGAACAGGTGCCCTACCACACATACACCTCAAGGGATGACAAATCCCATGCATTTGTCCTGCGGGGACTTGCTGAGGGAACAAAAATCTCCGACATATAGGAAAATCTTGAGGAGGAATACGACACAAAAACCCGTGCTATCTACCAGATGAAGACCAAACAAAGGCCCCTATTTCTGGTGATAACCGACCCACTGACTTTCTAAATAAAAATACACGAAGAATTCTATACACACGAGTTATCTGGGAAATTCGTAAATCCACAAAAATGATAGTCCAGTGCCACAATTGTTAGCAATGGGGGCATGCAACCTCAAATTGTGGCAGACCTTCAAGATGTTTGAAGTGCGCGGGTGATCATCACACGCGTACATGTGCAAAAACTACGGACACACCAGCAACATGTGCCAATTGTGGTGGTGATCACCCCGCAAATTACACGAAATGCTTAACTATACCACAAAATTCGAGAGAATGATGGCCAAAAATCACGCAGTAACTAGTCCCCGCCCCCCAAACCGTTAATTAACCAATGGGAGACCAGACAACAAAATCGAGTCACAAGAGATGAATTTCCAGCACTTCCCTCAAGAGAACAAAGAACTAATGCCCAAATCCGAAGAAATAAAGATGAAATCCCGGGACAAGTGACCCCAGGCTTTGCCATGGACGATTTATCAGCTCTAAATAATTAATTCGCGATATTAAACAGGTTGGTTAATATTGGTGAAATAACTAGAGCGGACAGAGCTTTGAACGCTAAACTCAAAGACTGCATAACTGGACAACAAATAATTGAAACGTATAACGCGTTCATGGCTAACATCGACAGTAACTTCAACCTTAGGAATTAAACATACATACTTTAGACAGTAAATTCAGTAAAGTCTCGGACTTTCTTCGAACCTCCGGGAAATTGGTGCGAGTCGGGACATTTGTGACCACAAAAGGCATACATTACGTACAACCAAGGCTAAAAACATTGAAAATTTGACATATATCCTTTTAACAGCGACGGATCCACTAAATAGCCAAATAAAAAACGAGGACTTGCTACCAACTCTGGTCGGACGGCAGACTGCACGGTGACGTCATCGCCCAGTGCAGGAATTCGTCGTTTCCCATGATTCTTGTGCTGGACGGAGGCTGAATTGTGTAGTCTTGTGATTTGGTCAATTTATATACACAAACTAACTAGTAACAAACATACACACGAGGACAACCCTGTTTTTTCATTCGGTTTTTCAGGGACGACAGACATAAGTAAAATCACACAAAACCCTACTACTTTTCAATTATCGATCTAGTTAAGCACCAATATTGACCTATAATGCTTAATTTAACAAGGAGGGGTCGCATAAACCCAGAATATTAACTAATTTCGTTTGAGTATATGGCCAAGACATCGGTCATGGTCTCGTTTGGGGCCATAGCAGCATTTGGAACACTTCCTGACGAGTTTCAAGAAGAAATCCTGCTGCAAATTATATGTATTTGAATTGTTATTAGAAATTGTATGTACATATTTGAAATGAATGAATGAATGAATGAATGAGTCGAGTTACTCGACACAAAATGGAATCACACGACTTTTAAACGCTAAAAATTATATTGTAATTATTAGTGATAGAACGATATCACTTTTTTTGCCGATACGATATATCAGCCGATGCCGATATATCGTATCGGCAAACATAACGCCTTCTATTTATACACGACCGAACCAAAAACCGGGGAAGTCCCGTTTTATAATTTCGTTGCGAGGAAACTTTTGTGATTGGTAGTGAGTGACATTTCGGATTTCGATTGTGGAATATTTTGCATCAAAAATTCTATGGGACATAAATAGCAATAAAGCAAAGGAGTATCACAAACTAATTGGATAAATGATTGCAGTTATTAACCAGCCATTTTCAATTGTTATTGATATGGGTTTTAAACACCTCATTGCAAAAGCAGTTCCTAAGTATAAAATGCCTTCAGAAAACTACTTTAAAGAAACTGTTTTACCTAATATTTATGAACAATGTAAAGGGACTGCAAAAGAATATTGAAGCAAGATCTGGAAAAATATCATTTACTACTGACATATGGATCAGTAACAGCAATAAAGCATTTATCCTCTCTAACTGGACGTTGGATCAGCAATGGAACGCGATGCGCCTATGTTTTAAACACAAAAGGTTTTCCGGGAACTCAGTGGTGAAACCATTGCCAGGTGTTTAAAAAAATGCTTAATGGTTGGAATCTGGCTATAAATGAAGTTCTACGGACTTCTTCATCTAGCAGTGCTTATGTTCTTAACGGAACTGAAATATTGATTTTATTTTCAAGGTCTACTCTGAAGCTTTGCCAGTCTATTCTTCTATGATTAGTCTAAGAGTGTTTTCCTTTTGGATAACGGTGTCACTAAGAGTGAGAAGAATAAGCGAATGATCTGAATTCATAACCTATGCCTCATCAACTTGGATGTAGTTTGCTGAAATATTTCGTACAACAAAAAAGTCTATTAGGTCGGGTATTTTGTTTCTATCTGTGGGCCAATAAGTTGGTTTGCCAGTTGAATACGACTCACATTTTAACAGTGCCATTGCTCCTTTTAGGTTTTTACCCTTAGTTGCCGTTGGTCTGGAGCCCCAATGGGTGTGTTTTGCATTGAAGTTGCCTCCAATGATAAATTTAGGTTCTTGACTATTAAGGAAATCTAGGTATTGTTCTTTTTTAACAGTATGTCTTGGAGGACAATATACAGAAGTGACCATAACATCAGAAGTTTTAGATTTTATCATTACTGAAGTAGCACTACCACCTTTTGTTGCATTTCGGGGATGAATGGTATGATAAATCTTATATCCATTAAATTTAATAAAGGATTCATTGGTAAAGTGAGTCTCTGAAATTAAGTATATGTCTATGCTTTCTCTGTCTAGGATTGCTTGCAATTCTTGTTGATGCTGCAGCAGTCCATTAACATTCCATTATTATTAGGCTATTACTCATTATATTGTCTCTTAGGTATAGTTCCTTTGCTACTATACTCTAACCTAGTAATTCGTTCATCCCTTTTGTTCAGCTTTTCCAGTATTTGGTGAAGAGCACTGGTAATGGATGAATCTTGATTGTTATCTATTTCTTACATTTTACCAGATACCATCTAAATGAATAATCTAGATTTGTCTATTAAATTGTTTCTATTAACAGGCTTATGTTGGATTACTCGCTATGGCTGTTTAGGTAAGTTTGGTTTTTTAATGTGCTATTATTTTTGATTTTTTGCATTTCCTTGGCTACTTCACATCCCCTGTAGCTAGCAGGATGTCCTTTGCCGCAGTGAACGCATTTAGGTGGAGCATCTTTCGGTTTTGCACAATTTACAGTTAAATGTTTCCCTGTGCATCTTACGCATCGATGAGGCTCTTTAGGAATTTTGTAAAATTTGAAGCAGATATCAAGCTTCCGTTTACTACGGTTATTTATGGTAGACAGATGGAAAAATTAAAAAAGATTAGAATTGTTTTGTCTTTATTGACTATAAAACCATTTGATTTGCACCAATTAACAAAATAATCTACGAGTTCTTTGGCAAGCAATTTCAATTCATCATGGGTTCTTGATGCAACAGTTGAGGTGACATCTGCATTTAAGATGTTACGATTTGTTCAGAGGAACCTACTCGACTTTGGACAAGTCTAATTTATAATACTGCTGCTTTGTCTGGTTTCCCAATTACATTACCCACATTGAGAAGGTACAACGAAAATTTCTGCGAATGATTGTTAATTATGAAAATATTTTTCCAAAATTCAACATGCAAACATTATAGCATTAAGTATAATTTTCAGTGGTAGTACATTCAATTCTGAACTATTAAATTAATACTGTTCAATGTAAATGAAAGACGTATGTGAAAATTGAATTATTTCAGATACCTTTTCATCACATTATTTACATGCAAAATAAAATAATATAAAATACTTAGGTAACAAACAACAAATTAATATTAATATTGCCCATATCTCTCTTCCTGCTTTTAAAAGAGCTCTCACTTGCTAATTGTTAGATATTTTTATTTCTTTATTTCTTCTTTTTTTTTTAGTTTCTTAGTTTGTATCATATTAAGTTTATAACTCGTTTTAATATTATCAATCGTTTCATGTTTGTTATGGAACTTTGATATATAATTCTGTAAAATGAGTTTCAATCTATACATACAAATCTACTGAAAAATATAAAGTAAATGCCACTTCTTTTTAAAATAGGAATAAAAAAATATTTTACAGATAGAACAGAATGGTCAAAGCACTATATAAAAAATATATTACGAATAACAATATCTGATTAGCATTCTTATCATTACCAGTATGACGTTCCAGATGCTCTACGAAGTGGCTGCTTGTGGTACTTTGTTTATTACAGAAAGGACACTTGAAATCGTCTTTGTGAGTTTCTGAATGTTGCTTTAAATCATCTTCTACTTTGTTGCATTTCCAACACCATTTGTCTTTATAACTCCTTAAAAAGTACAAAATATTGGACTTTCCTTTTTATTACATTACTTACATAAACACATCAATTTAATCCAAAAAATTACAATACACTCAGGAGATCCCGCATATATTTTTAGTAATAAATTAATTATATTTTCCATGTTTGCGTAGGTACCTAGAGAAGATATATTTTCTTTTCTATATGCAATAAACCCAAGGGGTAAACAAATCCAAAAAATGTGTACACAAGAATTCCTAACATAAAGAATACCTGATAATTCCAGAGAATACCCAGAGACTTCCTGGGAATACCCAGAGAATACCTGGAATACTGAGAGAATAACTGAGGTATATCCAGGTAATGCCCAAAAAATATAAGAGAATAATCAGGTATTTATAAAGAACAGTTAGTAAATAAGGTCCTTAAATTATTAAGAAAATTAACAATTGTTTCAGATTTATTAACTCAATGATTAGCATTTTTTTCTCTCAATTTAGATTATATTTTACTTTTGATAAAATATGAGAAATAAAAAGATAAGAAATTAACTATGGGAAAAAATATATAAACTTAAGAAAAAAATCATGTTAATAAATAAAACATTTAGCTTCCTTAATATTTGACAAATTAATGCACACAATCATCAAAACTAAAAAAACTTATTTAATTTTTTATAACATCCACATAATTTAAATATTTAATAGCACTGTATAGAACCGTGTGTAGCCAAAAATTCAAATCTGACAGAAATATTGAAAAAAAATATGGTTCAAATATATAAAGTAATAAGTTTTATAAAAATTTTTATTTATTAAAAAAAAAAAAATACAATTTTGTATATTTTTATTAAAAACGTGTTTAAAATAAAACAAAGTAATGAAAAATTAAAACAAATTACTTAAAACTTTTAATAAACTTGCACGCTTATATTCTTTATATATTTTCCTTATTTCTTCCTTTGTTTCTTTGGTTATACTAAACCAGTGTTCCTCAAACTTTTTTGGTGACTGAACCTTTTTGAAAAGCGAAATATTTGACGGAGCCCTAAACACATTTCTACAAAAAAAGGTAATAGTGACTTCTAAAAAAAAGGTCCTCAAACCAGGTCCCTTCCTTTTCAGGCGATAGTACTGCTTTTTTATGACTATTATTTTCGTCGCGGAGCCCCCACAAAGGTTTTGCGGAGCACACTTTGAGTATAACTGTACTATATATAGTCTATTTTTATGTATGAGAGAGTATTAAAATATAAATAAAGCGTTCGTAATCCATAGGCGTACCACTTCTTTTAATAGACAGTTAAAATATTTTTTGAAGTTATTTCTCGAGTATACACTTATATTTTCACCTAATTAACCTGCTTATAACTTCTAAACAGCTGAAGGTAAAAAAGTGCAATTTTTTCTAAAATGTTCTATTTTTTCACAAGGTATGTTAAGAACATTGTGTCAAACGGGTTATGTAGGTATAAGGGTTTAAACTTTGACTTTTAAACAACGTTACGTTCATAAATAATAATTTTAATATAAAAACTACTTCTTACCTACAAATCCAAATCAGAATCGAAATCAGAAGATGAACTGTCGCAACCAATATTTACAATGAGTGGCTCGATCATTTCATCAGTTATATTGTCCAACTTCCACATTTTCTCTTCTTCTTTAATCGTATGATTTACTGCCTTTTCCCAGTTTTCAGGCTTCACATTATTTACAGCCTCCAAAAACAACTGTTTAACATCACTCATTTTAAAAGAATTATTTTTTCTTGAAACTTCTCCCTTTATCTGTGTCCATATCAGTTCAATCGGGTTTACTTCGCAATGATATGGTGGCGATCTAACCACCGTCATCCCACGATTTTTTGCGATTTAATCAATTTCATATTTTTTGAATTTCTCTTTATGAAGGGAACACAAATGATACAGTTATTTTCTCACAGAACCGGGATGGAACTTAATATTCTTTGAATTTAGCCAATTCTGTAAATCTTTTTTTAACCACTTGGTTGTGGGCATTTTTTCTACAAGTCTCGAGTGATAACTTGCATTATCCATTACTATTATACAGTTCTGAGGAAGAAGATCTATAATTTGTTCGAACCACTCTTTAAAGACATCAGCATTCATGTCCTCATGCTAGTCACTGGTACGAGTAGATTCAAAAGCCAATAAACCACTTTTAACAAAACCGTTTGAACTACCGATGTGTACTATTATTAGTCTGCGCCCCTTTCCTGATGGTGGATTTAAACCAGTAGATAAATTATTTAAAAAAGCCTGTCTTCGACTTGTAACAGTTTCATCTTGCCAAAATTTATTTGGTTTATGTCCCTCGTTGATCCATGTTTCATCTAAATAAAATATATTTCTTCTTTGGTTTCTCATTTCTTTTATAGTCCTTAGGTAATTTCTTCTCCATACTACAATATCGCTTCTTTCTATTAAAATAGACTTTCTGGAATGCTTTTCCATAGAAAACCTATTTCTTTTAAAAGTTTCCATGGTGTACTTCGACTCATTTCAGGGTAATCCTTATCATCTCGAATCGTGGCAAGAACTTTGTCTACTGTCGGAAATTCTTTTCTAAAGAAGAACGCATGCACTTTCCTTCGAAGTCTTTCTTTCAAAAGATTTTCTAATTGAAATTTTGATTTTCCTGGAGCTTTACGTGCTGTTTGAAACTCGCCACATTTCTCTTCTTTAACAATTCTGTAAATCGTAGATTTCCCAACACCAAGCGTACTACTAATTCCACTGTGTCATCAATACATTTACATAAATGTTTGTCTGTAAATGATTTAAAACAATTAAATATTAATGTTTTTTCTTTAACTGTTAAAGGACCGATTTTTTGTCGTTTACGCGGCCCTTCCAAATTTTCCATGATCACACTAGAATTCACACTACAGCTTGCAAGTTGCAACTAAACGACATTTAGTAAACTGTCAAGAATACACAACTTGAAACTCCTTGCTAAATGGAAAACCTATAATCGCATTTTCGGTGAAATTTGTTGGGAAGGTATTTATCTACTTATAATTCGATTACTGTAAGAAATTCTTGGAATTAAAATAAAACAAAATTGGCAAATAGGTACTTATTGAAAATAATCTTAAGATACGGCTATGTAATCTTTAATACACAGGGCTTTTGGCCTGTCCAAACCTTTTTCTATTGTTCTGTACAGCTTATGTTTATAAAGGACCAATAAAAGATCCAAAACTTGTAATAGTTCAGGTACATTTATTACAATTTTAGAAAATATTTAAATTATTCTGTAAAAATATTTAAAATGACCGTACTAAGTTTTGCATTAGAAATGCTGTTTTATTACGCTCTCATACATAAAAATAGACTATAAACGGTTTAAAACCTTATAAAATTATTGGCCCGAATAGGATGAATTAATTTTTAACGGTTTGCATATCATCCTTGTTAGGCCGATAATAGTGACCTAAGTCTTCTTTTAAAAACTTTATCCTATACAAGTCATCATTTTTACTTTCTATTATTATGTTTCCGATATACCATGAATTATCATAGTAGATGGCGTAACATTTATTAGTTTCTATTAAATTGACAGTGCTTTTCTTGTAATTTTTAGAATCATAAAATTCTGGGACTCCCCTAACTCTTATAATTGTGTCCGAACTTAATTTATTGGAATGCTTGTCTAGAAACCAACATAATGTTGTTTTTCTAATTGTTTTAGATTTATTTCCAATTTTTATGTGTACTACATTTTTTTTTTTTTTAGTATCACTAACATTCAGAGAAGCAACATTTTTCAAAATAATTCCTCCTTCAGAAGTGGTCTCAGCTTGGACTTAAGTTCTTGACCTTCAATTATGTTACTACTTTCTTTTAATTTTTCATTTATAATTAAATCATCATCCGAGTCACTGTCAGAAAGAACGTTTTCTTTGCCTTCTTCATAACATTTTATGTACTCTTTATTTTTCCAAGTGTCTTTATATACTGGCATATTTAAATTACATTTTAACACATTTTTCAATAGCTGTTTTTTATTTAAAAATTTGTTTAAATTTGGGTCTAATCTATCTTCTATATATAAAATTGTTTGTCCTGACTGACTGACTGACTGACCTATCAGCGTACAGCCAAAACTACTGAGCCTAGAAAGCTGAAATTTGAAACATAGGTTTATTTTATAACGTAAGCATCCGCTAAGAAAGGATTTTTGGAAATTTGAACTTTAAAGGGGGGGAATGGGAGGAAATGGGTGGAGGGAGCTTTTAATGAAACTCTTTGTTCTTTAAAGTTAGAAACATGAAAATTTAAATTACAGCTACTGAGCATAAATAAATAATGACGTGTTTCAGGGTTTTTGGATTTTTTACATTTTGAGGGGGGAAAACGGGGGGTGAAAGTTTATAAGGGACTATCGATTTTTTTTGTTCTCTATGAAGTTAGAAACATGAAAATTGGAATTGCAGCTACTGACTACAAATTATTAATGACGTGTTTCAGGGTTTTTGGATTTTCACATTTAAAGGGGGGAAATGGGGGGTGAAAATTTATTTGGGAGTATCCATGTTTTTGGTTATCTTTAAAGTTAAAAACATGAAAATTGGAATTGCAGCTACTGAGTACAAATTAATAATGTGTTTTAGGGTTTTTATATCTAGGGGGGGGGCAAACGGGGGTAAACGTTTGTATGGGAGTATAACTTTTTTTGTTCTCTTTGAAGTTAGAAACATGAACATTGGAATTGCAGGTATTGAGTACAAATTTAGGGTTTTTGGATTTTCACATTTTAAGGGGGGGAAAACAGGGGGGTGAAAGTTTATTTGAAAATATCGATTGTTTTAAAGGAAGGAACTTGAAAATTGGAATTGTAGGTTCTCATCATAAATAAATAATGAAGTGTTTCATGGTTTTTGGATTTTCACATTTTAAGGGGGGAAAACGGTGGTGAAAATTAATAAAAATTATTAAAAATTATTAAAAATTATTAAAAATTAATAAAAATTAATAAAAATTAATAAAAATTAATAAAAAT